AAAAAATAATAATAATAATAATAATAATAATAATAATAATAATAATAATAATAATAATATGATGATGATGATGATGATGATGATGATGATGATGATGATGATGATGATGATGATGATGATGATGATGATGTTGGAAGGGACCTTGGAGGTCATCAAGTCCAACCTCCTGCTCAGGCAGGAAACCCTACACCATTTCGGACAAATGGATGTCCAGTCTCTTCTTAAAAACTTCCAGTGTTGGAGCATTCACCGCTTCTGGAGGCAGGTTATTCTACTGGTTAATTGTTCTAACTGGCAGGAAATTTCTCCTTATTTCTAGGTTGCTTCTCTCTTTGGTTAGTTTCCATCTATTGCTCCTTGTCCTGCCTTCAGGCGCTTTGGAAAATAGCTTGACTCCCTCTTCTTTGTGGCAGCCCCTGAGATACTGGAACACTGCTATCATGTCCCCCCTCGTCCTTCTCTTCATTAAACTAGACATACCCAATTCCAGCAACCTTTCCTTATATGTTTTAGCCTCCAGTCCCCTAATCATCTTTGTTGCTCTTCTCTGTACTCTTTCTAGAATAGAACAGAACAGAATAGGTTTATTGGCCAAGTGTGATAGACACACACAAAAAATTGTCTCTGGTGCATAAGCTCTCACTGTACATGCAAAACAACAAACTAATAGTAATCATAATATCAAAGTAATAATTGTCATAATAATGATACCAATAAGAAAAAGTAGTGGAACATATGAGAAGGATAAAAGTAATACAGCCACACTACATGGGTAAATATGCTTAGACAACACTGTGGGAATTAGGTGTTCAGCAGAGTGATGGCACAAGGAAAAAAACTGTCTCGATGTCTAGTTGTTTTGGCATGCAAGGCCCTGTAGATATGCCCTATAATAGATGAACACTATGGAATAGGCAATTCGCCAAAGGAAGGTTGGGGTTAAATGTAAATGCCCAACTTCATTCTATTTCTTGCAGAGCTGTTATTGTTGGTCTTGGGTTTGTGGGCTTGTACTTTAGCCTCTTTGTTGCTTTTGTTTTTACTACAGCCATTTCCCACCTGTCCCAAGCCATGTCGGTTTTGCTGGATGAAATTGCAGGAAACCTGCCTGTTCAAGACATGGATCAGAAGCCTTCAGTACTAGCAGCCCTTCAAGGTTAGCCTTAAAGATAAAGAGTTCCAAAGTGGTAATCTCCTGATGTCTGGAACTGCAATGTCTATCCAATGTGGAATCCCAGGAGGGGGGGAAAATCCTTAATTTCTTGCTTCTCTACACTATGGCAGGATCTCCGTTGTATGACTATTAGCTTTGACACCAAAAGTCAGACAGAGCCCCCTCTAAATTGAGGCTGACTCCTAGTGGCCCAATGAGTACACTTGTGTTGTTTTCTTACAATAATTTGGGATGTCTTATGAAGTCCCTATTGGCTTAGGATTTCCTTGTGGTCTCCTATTCAAGTATGGATCAAGTCTTCTTTCCAAGGATCAGCCACGGCTGGTTTGATGCTGCCAGCTGCTGAGACGATGTCACGTCAACTATGATATCATTAATTGTAGAACTGATTGCGATGGGTTTAATGACTTGACTTATTGAATCTCTGAAGCAGAGATGTCTGCTCTGCAAAAGCATGAATCTTTGCTTATCTCCCATTTCATTATGTCCCACTCAACATGTCTCAAGTGCCTATGAAATTGCTTTTAATTTTTGCTTCTAGTCTTTGCCTTCATAAGGACATATTTGGCAATGAAGGTAACAAAGCGATCAGTATTTCCCCATGTGTCCAAGTCTCAACCTGATCTTTATACAGTATAATCCAAGGAACCACAGTGGAATAACAGACAGCAATGTATAAACGATATTTGTGGGAGAATGCTGCAATATTTTGATGAAAATCTCTTGAAGTGTTTACTGAACTGTATTCAGAGTCATATACACCTGGGCATGTATATAAACTAGATAGATAGATAGATAGATAGATAGATAGATAGATAGATAGATAGATAGATAGATAGATAGATAGATAGATAGATAGATGAGAGAGAGAGAGAGAGAGAGAGAGAGAGAGAGAGAGAGAGAGAGAGAGAGAGAGAGAGAGAGAGAGAGGGAGGGAGAGATGATAAATAACTAACTAGCTAGATGATAAATCGATGATAGAGAAATGATAGATGATAGATAGATACAGTGGTGGGATTCAGCCAGTTCGCACCACTTCGGCAGAACCGGTAGCTAATTTTTTGTTGCCCAGGCTCAGAATGGACTTCTGGAAGCGGCATCCACACAAAGAACCGGTTGCTCACATATTTGAATCCCACCACTGGATAGATAGATAGATAGATAGATAGATAGATAGATAGATAGATAGATAGATAGATAGATGGATGGATGGATGGATGGATGGATGGATGGATGGATGGATGGATGGATGGATGGATGGATGGATGGAGGGAGGGAGGGAGGGAGGGAGGGAGGGATAGATAGATAGATAGATAGATAGATAGATAGATAGATAGATAGATAGATAGATAGATAGATAGATAGATAGATAGATAGATAGATAGGATAAATGATAGAGTACAACTAGCTAACTAGTAGATAGATAGATGATAGAGAAATGATAGATAGATAGATAGATAGATAGACAGACAGAAAGACGGACGGACGGACGGACGGACGGACGGACGGACGGACAGACAGACAGATAAAATGATGGATGGACAGACAGACAGATGAGAGATAAATGATAGATGATAGATAAATAGATAGATAGATAGATAGATAGATAGATAGACAGACAGACAGACAGACAGACAGACAGACAGACAGACAGACAGACAGACAGACAGACAGACAGACAGACAGACAGGATGATGGACAGATAGATAGACAGATGATAGATAAAAGATAGATAGATAGATAGATAGATAGACAGACAGACAGACAGACAGACAGACAGACAGACAGACAGACAGACAGACAGACAGACAGACAGACAGACAGACAGACAGATAGATAGATAGATAGATAGATCTCATTATAGGGTAATAGTTCATTCACTCTAGTTTCTCTCTTCACTTCTTCTTTCTCCAGGTGTGTCTTCATCAGCACTCATTCCTGCTAAATCTGAAAGGCTGAAAATACAAATGAAAGGTGGGCAGTGAGGGGATTTTAATGAAAAGCCGATGCTATTGATCCAATGGCTGACTCAGTGGGAGGGTGCAACTCACAAAACCAGAGTTCAGATAAATCCAGTGAGAAACAAGAATAGGGATTTATATACATGGAGAAATCAAGAAGCAGTCAGGTTTGTTTCTGAGTGTTCAGGGCTGAGCTAATGAGGAAATGCTAGATAGTCCCTAATTTTGCATTTCTTTCCCATGATTTCCAGTTCGGATGCAACTATCACCTTCTCTTTCTTTCAGGATCAGACTTGTTAGCAAAGACTCGGCACCAGATCAACCAAGCGAGCCGTGCGGAGTTGGCTGGCAGTTTTCTACGACTTCGTAATGAACATTTGCTGCTCAAAGAGCTCACTCAAAAGCAGAGGAACAAGATCAAAAGGTACTGGGAGGAACATGTGAATTTATTAAACCCTGGGGGTCGATCTGATAGACCAGGGGTCTTGAAACTTGGCAACTTTCAAGACCCCTGTGATAGACTAGGTCAGGGCTTTTCAACCGTTTCACCCATTGTACCATTTTTAGGATATGGCAACATCCGAGTACCACCAGTCGCCTAGCAAGGTGTCAAAAACTTGATGACCCAAAAAAAAAAAGGGGAAAAAGTGATAAAGTACAGGTAGTCCTTGACTTACAACAGTTTGCTTAGTGACTGTTCGAAGTTACAATAGCACTGAAAAAAGTGCCCTCCCCAAGGCACAGCCGAGCAAGACACCTGCCTGCGGCACTCTTCCTCCTGTCCGAGGTTTTCATTGTTGTGAGGCATTTCTATTGAGGATTGGCAGCGGGGGGTGGAGTGGGGGGGTGTTTGGTTTTTATTCCCCCCGTCTGCTGGGTGGTTGCAGCAGGTTTTGGTCACTTCACGTGACCCTGGGACACTGGGACCGTCATAAATATGAATCAATTGCCAAGCATCTGAATGTAAATCACAAGACCCTGGAGAGGCTGCAACATTCCAGCTGATCGTTGCTTCTTCTGGGCTCAGCAGAAGCGTCAGGATCAGTGCTGCTTTCCAGCTGATTGGTGCTTCTTCAGGGCTCAGCAGAAGCACCAGGATCAGCGCCGAGCTCCAGCTGGAGCCTGGCGCTGATCCTGGTGCTTCCACTGAGCCCTGACAGCCCCAAAGAAGAGCTGATCAGCTGGAAAGCGGCACTGATCCTGGTGCTTCCGCTGAGCCCTGACAGCCCTGCAGCTCCAGCCATCTCTCGCTCAGGCTTGTGCAGTGCTGCCACCAGTTCAGCTCATTCCCCTCCCCTGCTACCACCTTTCTAGGATGGTCGCGTACCACCTGCCAGGTGCCAATGTACCACAGGTGGTACCCGTACCACTGGTTGAAAAGCCCTGGACTAGGTACCACCATTGACAGTACGATCTTTAATTTGTTTGTTGGACCTAGATTTCATGCTGAAATGAAGACTTTCAAAGGATGAATGAAGTATTATATGGAAGGTTTCTTCCGGGGTTAGTCCAACCATCATAAAATCATAGAATTGGAAGGGGCGTAAATATCATCTATACCAACCCACTACCAGAAAAGAAATTAAACTAAATTAAAACACGAGAAAAGATTGTTCAAGTCTCTTCTTAGAGATGTCTCCACAAGTAGTGCAGTTTGTTCCATTGTTCAGCAGACCTTTTTCCATCAGGAAGTCAAACTGTTAAAACAGCGTACAAAATTGTACTCGGCTTACGACCACAAAATTGAGGCCAAGATTTCTGTCGCAAAGCGAGTTTTGCCCCATGATTCGCTGCAGTTCAGTTAAGAACACGGTCGTCAAGTGAAACTGACTTCCCTATTGACCTTGTTGGTCAGAAGGTCTCAAAAGGGGATCACGTGACCCCGGGACACTGCGACCGTCATAAATATGAATCGGTTGCCAAGTGTCTGGATTTTGATCACGTGACCACAGGGATCTGAAACAGTCACAAGTGTGAAAAATGATCATACGTCACTTTTTTTCAGTGGTGTTGTAACTTCGAACGGTCACTAAACCAAGTGTTGTAAGTCGAGGACCACCTGAAAGCGAAAACCAAAATCGACAGTGAAAAAGTCCTTTTGAAAATGGCATATTTTAAGCATCTTTTTTTTTAAAAAAAGAATTAATGGCAGATGTTATACAACTCTTTGCAAGCGCAGTAGATCTTGCAGTAGATCTAGCTCTAGTGACCCCTTGGGGCGGGACATGGGAATTGCAACATAGCATTGTCATGTAAGGAAGTTACAACTAAATAACGCAGGCAGGTGTTCCGTCCCAAGATTATTTAAACACATATTTTGATGATGAGAGACATGAAGTTCACGTGGTTTAGATTGCTTCACAAAACATATAACAATAATTTCACTGGGCAGTGTTTGGGTAGGTCTAGCTTAATGAAAAGAAGGACCAGGGGTGACATGATAACAGTCTTCCAATATTTAAGGGGCTGCCACAAAGAAGGAGAGGTCAAACCATTCTCCAAAGCACCTGAAGGCAGGACAAGCAGCAATGGATGGAAACTAATCAAGGGGAGAAGCAACCTAGACATTTCTTGACAGTTAGAACAATTAATCAGTGGAACGACTTGCCTCCAGAAGTTGTGGGCGCTCCAACACTGGACGTTTTTAAGAAGAGATTGGACAACCATCTCTATGAAATGGTATAGGGTCTCCTGCTTGAACAGGGGGTTGGGCTAGAAGACCTCCAAGGTCCCTTCCAACTCTGTTATTCTGTTATTTTCGTTCATTCAAAGTTACTTAGTTCTTCTATCTTTTCCTACATAATTCTTATTTGGTTTTTGTCACCCATGACCATTTTAAATAGTGCCAACAGTTGAGTGCCTAAAGCAGAAACCCTAACCCAAACCCAGTCCTGCTACAACAACAGCACTCCCTCAGAAAACCGACATTGAGTGTTCTTTCCTTGTTCCTCCAGGATGGGCACCAAACTATCAAGACTGAGTCATGAGCGAACACAACAGGAGACCCGGAACAGGAGACCCAGAAACTTCATTCAAAAATCTGTGCAGAATCTGGACTTAGAGGAAGGCCTAGAAGACATGCAGGAACGGGTTTGGGAGTTGGAACATCTCAACCAGCGTTTGAGGAGTCACCTGTTCTTCTACAAGCAACAGCTACAGCTGCAGGGTTGTAGCCGTCACTGTCCCTATGGCCACATCACAGCCAAAGTCAACACAGGCTTTCGTAGACCGCATACCTCTCCTAGACAGGGGCCCAAGAAGTCACCAAAAGGTAAGAAGGTTGGAGAGCTTGATGTGTTCATCGCTGGGAAGGTTCTAGGTTGAATAACTGTCAAGCATGAAGAGTGCCTATGCTGCTATGCTGCTTCAACCATTATTCCTTCTTAGCTTGCCAACACTTTTGGGTGGGGGAGGGGAGAATGGAACGCAGACTCCAGATAACAAGATGCCAGTCCGTGAGAACCAAGGACGCTCAATAGTTGTCTACTGAGAACTAAAGACATTCTCTCAAAATAATTATCTGACTTATAATTAGACAGTGTGACCTGTACTAATAGGGGGAGGGAGACTAAAGCATAACTTTTAATGTAGTGATTTAGGCGGGAATTAACCAGAGCTGGTTTTTCTTTCACCTGTGCCGAAATGATGTACTCAATAAAGTTTTGCATTAGACTTGGATGGTCTCAGCTGTGCTTACTCTGTTGGGTTCGTCAGTCGGAACCTTGACAATAACAGCATTAGATTGTCCTTGGAAATCATCAAGTGGACTTTCTATAGATGCTCTTTGTTTGTTGAATGGTGGGAAGTCTATAGAGATTCAAGGACATTGCAGTCAGTCCATCTTTTTCTCTTTTTTCTCTTTTTTTTTTGGGTGACAGAGATGCAGGTATCAACCATGACAGTCCAGACAACCTCTCCCAGATATGCAGATGATGTTCTGGAAAGGTTCCAAGCAGAAACCGAAAGACTGTGAGTTCTAGTCCCACCTTAAGTATGAAAGCTGATTGTGGGCCCATCATCGGGAGACTGTGATTTCTAGTCTTGCCTCAGGCATGAAAGGTGCTTAAGTGACTTTGGGCCAATCATCAGGGGACAGAGAATTCTAGTCTTGCCTTTGGGATGAAAGTCAACTGGTTGTCTCTGAGCCAATCATCAGGAGACTGTAAGTTCTAGTCCCAGCTTAGGCAAGGAAGTTGACTGGGTATCTTTGGGCTAATCACCAGGAGATGGTGAGTTCTAGTCCTGCTTTAGATATGAAATGCTCATGGATGACTTTGGGCCAATCATACTCTCTCTCAACCCAGCTCACTTTACCAGGCTGTTGTTCTGGGAAAAATAAGAAAGGAATGAATATTAGGTACATTCACTACCTTGAATTATAAAAATAATAAAGGTGGGATATTTTTTTTTTAATTCTTGTTAGCCTGCAAGAAAGAAGATCAATCTTTAAAACAGTGGGATGCATTTTAGAAACATCGGTTCTTTTCTTCTCTCCTTCCTATTAATGACAGAAAAACAAAATTATATTTCTTCTTTCAGGTCCCACAGTCTGGTGCTGGCTGAGTTAGACAAGGATCATGAATTGCTGAGTTTCACACCTGATAAAGATATTGATCTGGAATACATTCAACCTCAGAAAAGCTATCTAAACTTGCAGGAATACCGGTAACGTTTGGTTCTCTATCTCCCTAATATTCATACCTAATATTCTGTGGTAAGAACACATACACTCCAATCGTTTTTACTATGCCCCCCAAACGCTGGCTATTGCAAAAAGCAGAAACATTGAATCATGCCTGTTGATTCACAAAGAGGGCCAATTTGTTTCCCTCGCTCAACAGAGCTGCCATCCAGAAGAACGTGGAGCTGATTCGGCTGCAGAAGCTGTTATGGGAGAAGAATTCAGAACTGGTGATCTCCAAAGCTCAGATTACTGTCTTGCATGAGGTAAGTCTTGGCGCTTTCATAGAGTGCGATCCTTGGTGCAGTCTGAGCTTGCTTGTTTTCTTGCAGACGTTTCATTACCCTACTAGGTAACATCATCAATGATAATGTTAGGTATAAGTAAGATCAACACTTACCTAGTTGAGTAATGAAACATCTGTAAAAAAAAACAAGGACCCCAAAGAGCATCAAAGACCCCACAGTTCAACCCTGGGCTTCAAATATTCTCTTCTCTTGGTATTTTAATGGAGTGTTTCCTAGCCCACTGGACTTTGGGACAGAAAAATCTGAAAATGTGTTTAGATAGTGTGAAGGAGTTGTTGTTCAGTTTCCCGTACCTGTGTTTTCCTGCCAATTTCTCCATCATGTCTTC